GTTATTAAATTTGTGTTATTGAATCACTAATTATTGAATATAATTAAAGTAAACATTTATTATTAATTTCGTAAATATATTCGTAAATATTTACTAATTTATTAATTTCGTAATAATTTCGTAAATTAATTCATTTAATTTTGTGAATTATTTGAATTATTATATATGTCTCTTAATAAACATTTATTTCGTAAATATAATTAGTGTATGATTTAAATGATTAATGACATCATATTATCGTATTAGTTCTAGTTAATTAATATTATTAATTGAAAGTTATTGTTTCGTAAAATTGAATATATTAATAATGCTCCTACTATACATATGTTGTTAATGTCTATAATTTGTAATTTTTAACCAATATATTTTTTTATAATATTCAGGCATAATGTATAGGCAAAATAGAAGTTGGATGTATGATAAAAATGCGGAGTTGTACGGAATGAAAACAAATTTTCTTGATGGAATTGCGGAGTTTATTAAATTTGCACTTGAACACCCGGATTATATGAGTGGTGATAATATCAGATGTCCATGTTCAAAGTGTAAAAATATGCAATTTAAAGACCAAGACGCTGTTGGGTGGGATTTGTACGCAGACGGTTTTGTTCCCAATTATTATAATTGGACTTGTCATGGCGAAGCTTATGATCCATCTCTTATAAAACTGATTTATAAAACTGTTTATAAACTTTTTTATGAAAATCTGTTTATTAAAAATGTTATTTACAAAATGGCTGTTTTTATAAAACTGATTTTTTAAAACTGTTTATAAAAAACTGTTTTTTAAAAACTGGTTTTTAAGAACTGTTTTTTTTGTGAAACTGTTTTTGAAAATTCATTTAAAAAACTGTTTTATAAAAACAGTTTTATAAAAACTGTTATAAAACAAAAATATGTATACCGAAAAGACAATTTTTATAAACTGTTTATAAAAACCGTTTTTACATATAATGAAGTGAAAGAAGTTATAAAAAATATAAAAATGTATAAAAAGTTTACCAAAATAAAATACCCACAAAATACCTATAATATAAAAATAAAATATGTCCCCTCATGTAAACTTGCCAAAAAGTTTAACATGTTACCTCCCAAAATGTATTATTTCAATGTTACACTAGTCAAATTCAAAAAACTACCACCCCCATATTAAAATTGAACAAAGTCCGAATATGTCATAACAATTTTTAATTAATAAAACATTTTAAAACATTGTTCTATTATAATAATCACACTAACATTTAAAGATATGAATTAATAAATTTTAGATGAGTAATGAACAATCGACATCTCGTGCTCGCCCGAACTACACCCCCCAGACAGCAGCGGAGCGCAATAATGAGACTGCTCATTGGGTGACACCTGAGCAGATTGCTTTGTAAGTAATTATGAACTTTATCTAATGTCAAATAATTTTGTATAATGTCAAATAATTTAATCAAAATCTATTAAAAAATATAACAAATTTTTTAAAGTGATCAAGATGTCCTAAATCGGATCAAGGCCATCATCAAAGGACATTTTAGGGGTACTTGGATTTCCTACACGGAAGTAGACGCCGAGGTCCGCGAACTTTGGTGGAACCTGTTTAAGGTAAAAATAAATGAATTTTCTCGATTTAAATGTAGTAACTTAAAATTTGATAAATAATAAACTAATTTATTTTTTTTTTAAATAAAGGCCCAACACCGATGGCTTGAAGCGGATGGCCCCGCCATCCTTAAAGCGTATAATGCAAGAGTTTCGTCTTGGATGGTAAGTTCTTTTAAACGCTACCGAAAAGACATGAAGAAGCCCGCATGGATTGCCGATGATGTGTGGGCCAACCTTGTTAACCATTGGTCCACGAATCCAAAGTTTGCGCAACGAAGCGCAGCCGGTAAGAAAAACCGGATGTCTGAAAAGGCTTTGGAGACCCAATGGCATGGGGGCCGCAAACCTCTTCCTCAACATAAAAAACTCTTGTAAGTTCTAATTCAAAAAATAAATATAAACAATCCTTCATGTTTACAATTAGTTTTGGATTTTAAATCGTTTCGAACCATGTAGGCGGGACCTGAGAAAAAGAGGGTCTCGTATCTGAAGGTGTTAAAGCACTGTTGGACGAAGGGCGGGGACGATTCGGAAGCCGACCTTCCACCTCGCATCGCTGAAATCGAAGTAAGAAATACACTTGCTCTTTAATCTTCTAAATAAATAGTTCCTAACAAGAATTAATCTTGTACATGAAGACGAAGTATCACTCAACCGTTGAGAATAAGCGTGCCGAGCTTGGCTTGATGGAAGAGGATGACCTCGCTTCTGATGAGGATGATGAGGCGATCCTGGAGGCAGCTGGGGTTTACAAGGGTCGGGTTCCGTGCTTGGGTGCCGAAGGCCAACGGATTTTGCTCAACCGCGACGACGCTTCCTCTTCTCGTTCGCGGCGTGGTGAGGATCCTCGGATTGCCGAATTGCAGCGACAATTAGAGGAGCAACGCCAGAAGGATGAAGAAACAAGAGTCCGACTTGAGATGATGGAACGGCAAATGAATATGTTCAACGCCGCCTATCAGCCTCCGCCGTATGTGAGACATCCTGAAATGACTCCTCAAATACCGCAAATGGGCAACTTCCATTCCAACTCCGGGTTTAACATGCCCTCCTACGGATCCTTTCATGATCAGTCTTGGAACAACATGTTTCAGACACCCGTAGCCAGCCGCGGAGGATCCAGCCGCAGAGGAGCCAGCCGTGGAGGCACCCGAGGAGGCACCCGGCCCGAAGAGCCCGAAGAGCCCGAGCAGCCCCAAGAGCCCAGTGATTTTCATTATTATGAATGAGTGTAATAATATATTTTTTGATTTAAATGTGTATGAATGAATTTCTTTTCTATTAAATTGTTTATGCATGAATTTATCAATTTTCTATTAATGTGTATGAGTGAATTTATGTAATATTTAATTCCGCTTTTCAAAATAATTAAAAAACATATTACAATTTTTTAAAAATAAATTGTAAAAATTCTTTTCAAATATTGTTTTAATGTAATTTTAAAATAGTTAAATTAATAGTTATAAAAATTTTAATTAATTTTTTTTTTAATTTAAAAAAAATAGTCACGGACTAATTCCGTGACTAAACTAGTCCGGAATTCTTTTTTCGAAACAATTTTTTTTTTAAATTAAAATAACTAGTCACGGATTCTGACCGTGACTAATTTGAAAATTTGAATTCGTAGTCTGAAAATTTAAAATTTTGAATTTGAAATTTTGAATTTTTGAAATTTTAGTCACGGATTATGACCGTGACTATGTTGAAAAATTTGAATTTTGAATTTGTAGTCACGGACAACATCCGTGACTAAATTTAATTTGCCTGGTCGGAAAAGTACTCCGGTGACACTGTAGTCACGGAAATGGGCCGTGACTAGTCCATGACTAAACTTAGTCACGGACTATGGTCCGTGACTAAAGTTAGTCACGCCTGAGAAGTCTCGGATTTTGGCCGTGACTATGTCCGTGACTAAATGAGTTAGTCACGGATTTTTTACACTACGATCCGTGACTAAGTCCGTGACTACAACGCAGTTTTTTTGTAGTGGTATCCTCACTTTTCTTCACCTTTAATTCGTTCTTCATATATAGAGTTTATTTGTTTCGTTTTTGTTTTTCTGTATATGAGTTCATCAAAAGCTTAAAACATTCTCTCCCAGTAGGCATATTGAACATGATTTTAAGATTGATTCTTTGGATAGAATTGTTCTGTATGGATTCTCTTCCGTCCGAACAAAAAATGTAGAAAGTGATTGTGTATTTTGATAAGTAAAACTTATTAATCAATGTATGTATAATCATAAAAATCATGAAACGTAGGAATTTTTAGTAGGGAATTAGAAATGATGTGACTCAAACAAAATTAGGATCTCTCCATTTTATCAACCTCTACGGCTCTACTTGTAGGGCTTTGATAGCATTTGAATGCTGTTTAAATCACATGTAAACTATGGACTTTAACATTTGCATAGCAAAACACTCATATACTATCGTATTTTTCTTTTGGTGCAAAGTATTTTTAAAATTTTGAGGTAGTCAAAGACCACCTCTTTTCTATCAATATTGCCTTTCCAATTGTTTTGAACGCTTATGATATGGTTTCACATGCATATATTCTTTAGCATTGTTTCACATTTTGTACACAATTTTTTTACTCTAATATTTCAATAATTTTTTTAATTAGGGTGAGTTGGGGCCTAATATGACACCCTACATACACCCGCCCATGCATACAAGTTAAAAATTTATTCTGTTCACGTGATCTGAATGGATCTATCAATTTTTTTTAAAGATCTTATGTGATTTGGATTTGAATTCTTCCGAACTAATCTCTACCAATTTGATTTGATTTTTTTTTTAACTAATTTGATTTCATCTGAATTTCTCAAGATCTTTCTAATTTGATCTCAACATTTCTGATCTAGAACTTTTTATCTGATTGAGTTTTTGTTAAAACAATTATTATTGAAATTATTATTACGTAATATTACTATTGGGCAGTAAAGAGGAGTATGCCAGACCCACCCAACTATATTCCAGTCTCTAGTCTCCATAACGTGGAGGACTTAGGGAGTGTTTGCAACTGCTTCTGCTTAAAAAAAAACTTTTGGAGATGTAAGGAAAAAGTGATTAGTAAGAAAAGTTGATAGTGTTTGAGAAAAGTGATTTTGAAAAGTAAAAGTTGATAGTGTTCGGTAAAATAAGTACTTTTTGTGTAATAAAAAGGGGAAAAGCACTTTTCACACGCAAGCCGAGAAAAAGAAAAAATTGGTAGTGTTTGGTAAATAAGTGTTTTTTTAAACCAAAAGCTGAGAAGTGCTTTTTAAAGTGATTGCAAACACTCCCTTACTCATGGTGAGAATGTGAGATTATGAGCATCTTGTGAGTGGTAGATAACGTGCATCCCGCCTCTTTCGGTCAATTTCGGGCCGACACCTCACAGCCCATTCCGTATATATTTTTAGAGGAAAAAAAAAAGAATCATCTGGCTGAATGAATAATTGGTGAACCGGTGGCATGACATAATCACGTAAATAAATCTGCAAAATTCACATTTTCACGACCCTGAAACACTCGTTTACGAATTAGAATCCCGCTAAACCCTATCTCTTTATGGTCACTGGAAAAGAAAAACTTGAATTAAAAAAAGAATAACTAAAAACCCAGAAACGGATTAAGGTTTCACTTCCGGTCTTGCAAACGTTAGCTTGGCAAGGAGAGTTGTTCAGCATCTGTAGAAGGAGAATCAATGGCGTGAAGGTTTAGTCCTCTTGTTCGTCCTGGTGCTCCGCCCTTGAGCAATGATAAGTCCAAAATAAACCTGCACAGGATGGGGTAAGAACTAAATTAGAACCCATTCAGTGCCCGTTTGGTAACTTTTCTTACCGAGTTTTTTTTTACCAAAACACAGCTTTTTTTTGTTCAAATAATGTAAGAATGGTTGTATCAAATTTAGCCAACTCAGGGTGTGAGAGATAATTTGAGGGTAAATGTTAAATAATTACCCTTCCCTAATTTTCATCTCCCTACCAGTATGGTATACCTTTTACACATACTGCTTTCCTTTTCTGCAAGATCACAGTTCATCTGTATCTTCTTCTGGTCAACAATTGACACATGAATCCCCATGGGCAAGTCGGCTAATTTCGGACCTGCGTTTACAGCAATGTAATTCCAAACTCATAATCTGAGCCTTTAAAGATTCAACGTCGCATTTAGCCGAGAGATGACTTACTCGTTTTATCTAGGTTCTTGACGCCTTCACCAAGTCCCAGTATAGCCTACACCAATTTGAAGGTATAGAGTCATGTTAAGACCAGGTCCTAAACCATCCTAGATAAATTCAGCTGAAGACCATCTAATAATAATGTTGGTTTACACTTTAAAGGCAGTATTGTCCAAGCGAAATGGGTGAAAAGGTTGATGGAGAAGAAAGAGATATTTGAATTAATGGAGGATAACAAGGAGGTAGGACTGTAGGACCCACCACTTTCATTTCTTTCCTCCCCATTTATTTTCACACAACTACAAAATTCTTCATTTGCCCCCTGTTTCTTTCCACTTCAGATCTTCCTCTTCTATTTCACCTTAACCCAACAAAGCCGAGAGGTCTGTTTGGATGGAGTGTTTTGGAGGGGAATGCTTAGACGCTTGGTTAAAATATTACTTCATAATAAATACAGTAGCATATACAGACAACTATTATGTTGATCTTTCCGTTTACATAAAATCTAAAACACGCACAGAGAGGTATGATGTTTGCCCTCCAAATCGCCTTTATTCAAAGATACCAAACAGACCCAAAGAGTACAAGAAAAAATTGAAGGATCACCTTGAGGGACTGGTAGCAAATCTCAAGGTCATCATTGACCAGGATATGATCAAAGAGGCCAGGGGATTTCCCTTTCTCAAGCTCTTCCTTAGCATTCCGGAGACGCTTTTGGATCTGTTCTTCAGTCTCGGTTCCCCTAAAATTAATTAAGTGCAACAAACAAACAAAACCTTAAGGAAATCAGTGAAACGAGAGGAAATGAAACAGGGGTATAGAATAGGGCGCATCATAACAAGGCCTACTCCCCACCTTGCCCGAAGGCGCTGCTCAAGCTTTTCAAATGAAGGGGGGGTGATAAATATGAAAATGGCTTCAAGAGAACTAGCCCTCACAGACTTTGCTCCTTGAACATCAATGTCAAGTATGCATCTCTACACAACAAATACACAATATATGCTTTCAACATCACAAAAGTAACAATCCACTGCAGTTATGCATTTCTATGTTTGGAACGCTATAAATTGTAGGGAAAAGAAAAAATGCCAAATAAAATAATCTTGTAATTTCATGTCTGGTTTTGCCTTATAAAATGCATTGGAAAATCAAATTTGATACATACTTTCTAAAAATAGTAGAATACACTGCGTAAGGTATTGTTGTGTGACTGAAAAGTCAAAGTTTCAAGTCTTGGAAGCCGCCTCTTGTCAAAAATTGACAATGGAAGGCTTGCCCTCTATACACCCTTATGGTGGGACCTTTCCCCAAGCCCTCGCCTTGCGGGAACACCAATGTGCACCGGGATGCCACCACGTGTACATAGCAAGACATATATATAAATAAAAGAGACAGAACAAATATCTAAAATATATTTCCACGTGAAGTCGTGAACCAATTCTTTATGTTTGCGGGAACGCCAATGTGCACCGGACTGCCTCCAATTCTTTATGTGACCTAACTACCCTTCACAAGTCAACAACCCTTTGCTATCTATCCACATTTTCGATTTAATTGGGTAACAATAATTACCCACCCACTACCCCAACACCCACTGCCACGAGCTCCGGCTGGAACATGATGAGTCTCTCGACCCATCCATAGAATTGGTTCACCAAACAGATGTCCCAGTTTATCTTCTAGAGAGAGTCCTTCATTCTCCGGCTGTAGAAGCCGGCGTTAATGGTACTGCTTCCGCCAAGAACTCGGCCCCCGGCGTTCGGGACGCCTTCTTCGGAGGTGTAGGTCTGGACAGGGGAATAAAGGCGTCGACCTTTGTGAGGGCTGTGAGAGACCCTTCTTGACTCATCAAATCTGGATTTCCATAGGGAACCCCGCCTCTTTCAATAGCTAAGCGACGAAGAGATCTTGGAGATGTCATACACTGTAGGGAGAGATTGGGGAATGGGGGAGGTCTTGGTTCAGCAGAATGGGGTGAGGTCTTGGTTCAGCAGATTGGGGAATAGGGGGAGGTCTTGGTTCGGCAGAAATGAGAAATTGAGAAGCTTTGAGGGTGAAGAATTGATGATGGGGGAGGTCTTGGTTCGGCAGAAATGAGAAGAGCGTAGGGGTTGGGGTTAGCAGCGGAAATAGAATCTCTAAGAAAGGGCGAAGGGTATAAATGATTTTTGCTCCTCAATTAATTGATCTCCTAAATTACCGTTCCAAAAGCAAACGTAAAGATGTATCCGGGACAGAGGGAGTATATAACTACATACGTAAAAGAGCTTCAAAAAATATCTAAAATGTACTTCAGTGTGAACCAATCCTCTTTCTTTCAAAATTTCCCTCTAATTCCATTCTTGTTTTCTTAGCCCAGCAATTCCCGGGTTTCAAATGGACACTTCATGAATCATGGACAAAATGTTGAATTCCTACTTCAGCGTTTACAGATACAAAATATAGACACAAGTGACCAAGATTGCTTCGAACAAGTATTATACACATTCATTAACTAATCAAGACTAGAATAAAATTGACACAAAGTAAATATTTTAGTTAAAGAATAATAAGTTTTAAATGCACCACACAAACCTTTCCAGAATCAGCAACCACTTCAACAGCTTCTACACTAGTTCCGTATAGATTCCCATGAACAGTGGCATACTCAAGAAACTTCGCATCCCTTATCTCTTCCTCCATTTTACTTCGCTCAGAAAAATGGTAATGAACACCATCTTGTTCCTTCACTCTAGGAGCCCTGGTAGTATGACTAACAGAAAATCCAAACATTGATGGAAATTCTTCCATTAATTTGGATATCAATGTTCCCTTTCCCACTCCAGAAGGACCACTGATAACAATTGGCCTCTCAGCATGACCTAATACTCCTCTGCTCCAGGCTACCACTTTTGTTTCAAAGTTCTTCTGTTGTTCTCTAACAAAAGGGGTATTCACCTACATATAAGTCAAAAACTTTTTGTACGTAAAAAACAAATTTATTTTCTGTTTGGTAGCCACAATCAGCTTGTTCTGGTTATAAGCAGAATAACTAGCTTTTGACTTCCTTATATAGCTGAAATGCATTTTACACTACGCTTTGCCTTCAGAAAATTCTGAAGATTCAATGGTTTCAGCGAAACAACACTTGCTATACACACAATTAGTGAACTGTGCCCATTTACTATAAAAACAAACAAAAAATACCCATATTATATAGCAAGGCTACAAAAGCTATAGTACAATTCTTATGAAATACTTCCTCCATCCCAAAATGATTAGCGAGTGTACTTTTCTTGATCAACACATTTTGGATTTATTTACTTATTTAGGATATCAAAATTTTAATATATTCTAATTTGGACTTTACAACTTTATAGAACTTTCTATTTGAATATATAAATTTTAATTATTAAAACTGATTTAAAGATCGACAAAGAGAATTTGACTTTATCGCCAATCAAACTTAAAACCCGCAATTTGCAATCAATGTGGTACGGATAAGTAGTAAAATTTGTCTAAGCATAGTGTATAAAAGATTGTGCTAAAAACAAATAAGGATGGATGAACCAACCTCAAGAAACCAAAAGCTATCAGAGAGGGTTGACTTTTTCATGATAACCAATACCCTTTCACCATTTAAAAGAAACGCTGAGAAGCCCTTATTAGATGCCTTGGGGGTGGTTCCCATAACAGCTGGATTTACCCTGTAAACAGTACAAGATTTTGGTGATCCATAAAGAATTAATTATGTTGTTCGCAACCAATAAACCCGCACAAAAAGCTCACCATTTTCCAATGGAATTTTCATAAATCTGAACTTCAATTGTTGACACTGGTTCATGATCAGCTCCACCACTAAGAACATACTGATTAAAAAAACATGGAGGGCAGAATGTATTTTTTACACTAGGCTTTGTTCCACACAAGTAGTAAAGAAGAAAACAGATCATGTAAAAACATCAAATCAGCATGCTCTATTCATCATACTGTTTTGCTGCCGATATCAATGGCTACTTTGTTTTCGTTAGACTTCAAAGCAACTCCACTGTCACGATCTCCAACCCCATATTCTGCAACAAAAGCTGGAGCTTCCCCCTATAGGAAACAGAACAGATCAGATCAAGAACTAGTAGACATCTTCTTACTTCTGCTACACAACCTCGTGGGGGTTAGGGATTTCATTATGTAAGCTTACCATTGAGATTGAAGGTTCAACCTCTGAACTTGAAACCTCTAGAGTTCAATTCCACCTGATTCACCATAAGGAATGAGGTAGACATAAGAATTAACATCCTTGATTGAAAATCCCTCAGCTTTATGTAAATCTTCAAAACCAAAACACGCATCTATGAACGTGTGAGCTTAAATAATTAAAGCCATTGCATATTGCCTGGGGAATATCTGAATCATATCTACAAAAGGCGAACGTGATTCAACCCGAGGTCTAAAATCGTAGCATGATTCAAAAAGGATAAGGAATGCGTAAAAAACGAATCAGAAAGGCGAGAAAAATACAGAAATTAGAGATTCTCGGTGACCCCTTTTGGCAGAAGAATGGGGGATGGGGTTTAATGGAGTTTCTGCAATGAAGAAATAATTATATTTCAAATTGGCATTAAAGTCCACAAACGGATCTTCCAGATTTCAAAAAGCAGCAGACATAGGATTGAAAAAGCCAGCGGCTAAGGAAGAAGACGAAGTCGTGTGAAAGTTAACAAAGACTTGCCATATTTGTAGGGGAGAAAAGAGGAGTCCGCAGGGGGTTAGTTTCCTTGTCGCAGTCGGCTTTCCCTCTTTAAATTACGAGGGTTTTTAAACCAATCATATCACAATATCAAGCCACGCCCAATGTATTTGCTATTTTTATTTTTATTTCTTGAAAAATGCACTTCCTGTTTGCTATTTAGTTCTTGAAAAGTTACAAATGATTAAAAACAGGCTTGCAGAATGAGTTTTTACCTAAAATTTTGTTAAATAAATAAATATTTTTGTATTTCCTAAAATACTACAGAAATAATCACAATTAAAGAACCGCCACTTGAAGTGGCGGCTTATAGGCTTAGGAAAACTAGCGCACGATACAAACCCGGGAGGAGGAGAAGTTGAGTCATGTGTCCACCACCATATAAAATATCATGATTTTTTAAAGTGGTATAACTTTTTTATTTGTATTCCGATTGTTGTAAAAGTTATATCAAAATTTATAACTTTTTTATATTCAATATTGGTGTTATATGAAAGATAATAAAAAGTTATGAATTTTGATATATATTCTGTAACAATCGGAGTACAAATAAAAAGGTTATACCACTTTAAAAAACATGATACTCCATGTTTTATTTGGTAGTGGGACCCATGACTCAACTTCTCCTCACTCCTGGCTTTGTACGTGACTACGTGCGTTAATTTTTCTAAGGATATAAGCAACCACTTGAAGTGACGGTTCTTTAATTGCGGTTATCCCAACAGTAGTTTGGGAAATACTTTTAATCTAACATTATTTTCGGAAATATTTATTTATTTAACAATAATTTGTGAAAATTCTCTTGCAGAATAGATAAATTAATAAATAAGGACATCAAATTTACCTTGAATAAAGGACGCCGCTGATACATGATCCTGGAAAATTTAGCGACTGACATGAAGGGAAATATCCATTACAACTAGGCTATCGAGTTGGATATCTTCGGATCCTTTAATCATGAAGAAGAAGAGAATACAAAACTATTTTATTAAAATTGTTCATTAGATTATTAACCTGCACGGCTGCACCGTCAGATAAGGTATGTTCGTACTTCTTAAGTAAACAAAATTGATGTTGAAGAGAAATTAGTCTCAGCCGCCATCTAATTTCATGCCTGCACTAAACCACTGCGGTCATTTTATTTTAAGTATTTGACTTAAATAGGAGTAAACTAATTGGAAAGTTCCAAAATAGGAGTACTCTTCAAATAATTCCCTGAATAGGACTAAAATGCTTAGTCACCGTTTCCAATACCTAAACTACCCTTGGTTATACGCGCGCCTCAACGAATTTAATTCCCCTTAGCTGCGCCGACTTTTTCATCCTCTTCTCTTAGTTCGCAACTTCTTCAAGTTTCGATCGTCGTTCATCATGTACACCATATCACGCATGATCCATCGTTTCGTTCCAATCTTAATTTCTTCTAACTTTCAATACTCTGCTTCAATTCTCGATGAATTCAAGTCTGCATGCTTTCTAAATTGTTTTCGTTACTCTGCTTTCAATACTCTGCTTCCATATTTTCGTTACTTTGATTTAGCTATTTCAGAACACAACCTCGTAATTCAATTGTTGTTTGACTCTATCCTTGATCTCATCTATGTTTCTACTTAATCGATACTTTGTTTATAGTTCTGTACTATTGTGAAATTGTTTTGCGTATTTAGGTTGCTGTTGTATAGGTATTTAAGTTTACATATTGATTACGTTGCTTTTCAGTATGTTCTTCATCATTTATGTGTTGTACAAATCTAGTTTCTATGAACTTGCTTGAACAATTTAGTTATTATTGTTAATTGATTATAGTCATCTCTGCAATTTATCTCCAATTACTTATATTCCTATATTTATGGACTCTGATTCAACAAATATTTCTTTATTCCATTCTACTCATCATGATTTAGTGTTTGAATTTGTAGTGACAGTTTCACTATTATTTGACATGTATCCTGTTAGTAAATATTGCCATCCTCTTTCCTGTTAATGCCATGTGTTGTGTTTTATTTTGTAAACTGACTTTGAATAATTCACTGTTAAGTATATGCTTACATTTTTTTTTTCATTTTCTTTTATATAGTCTTTCTTTCTGTTTATGATTTAAATATTTTCTGTCATGCTTTAGCATAACACTTTATTTCTCTTTTTTAGCCAATCATATCTTCAAAATGGATACTGTTTTGCTGCTTATGGTCAAACTGGATGGTATATGGTTGAGTAATTGTACTTTCACTCATAGGGACACGTGTGGTATTCAAATTCGTGCAGATGCGACATATGTGTATTTTATTCAAAGTATGAGTCAAATCTTAAATCTGTACAAGCCAAACCATTCATTCATAGTTTCTTATGTTGATGATGGATGTCCCCCGCCAGTTCGTATTCATGATGAAGAGACATTCAAATTTTATCTTCATCTTAAACTTCTTCAAACTGATTTTGAGAAGTTTCCTCTATGCATTCAGTTTGTTTGTAATGAAGTTGTTGATGTTGAAGCATCCTCACTACTTCACAACTCAGCTCCTCATTCTAATAATTCAATTGTGTCTTCTTTGTTGTCTGAATCTTGTACTGAATCACATGTCGATGTTTCTGATCATGAGGTTGTGCACAACCTTGAACCACATGATGATGTTTCATCATCTGATTTTTCTGATATTCCAGGAACCTCAATTGCTAACTCTTCTTTTGTTAGTTCTAAATCGTCTTCCTCTAAAAGTTTTACCCTTCACCATAATGTTGAGGTCATTACACATCATCATCCTACTTATCTGATTCGTCTTGCCATCTATAAAGACAATGTTACTCTTATCCACCATTTGAAAATGTATGCAATCAATAACAGTTTTCAATATAGAACCCTTACATCAAAGAAAGAAAGCCTTCATGTCATTTGTAAGGATAAAAAATGCAAATGGACCGTGCGCGCAACTAGATTATCTGGAGTCAATATGTTTCAGATAAGAAGGTATTCACAAATTTCACTAATTTGAGTTATTATATTTGTACGTTATTGCCATAATAACAGTTCAATTGCCATGAATGTGTGATGGCAATATTCTGTGTGCTGCATTCCAGGTTTCGTCTAGAACATACTTGTTCAGTTGATTTCAGACAAGGTAACCACAGGCAAGCTACAACAGATATCATTGCAGATATGGTTGCGTACAAATACCTTGATGCCTCAGAAAAACCATATACTCCCAAACAGTTAAGGAATGACATGGCTATGCAATTTGGAATTTCAATGTCGCATAAGAAAGCTTGGAAAGCGCAAAAGCTTGCTAAGGAAAAGCAGTTTGGCTCAGATGCAGCCTCGTACCAAATTTTACCATTGATGGCCCACGTGCTTGAGCAATCAAACCCAGGATCTACAATAAGTGTTATGACAAGTGCTAATGACACATTCCAGTCATTCTTCTTCTCTCTCGGAACGTGGACTGACGCGTGGCAGTTTTGTAGACCCGTGCTCATTGTTGATGGATCATTTATGAAGGCTTACTATAAAAGAACCTTGCTAACAGCTTGTGCTCAAGATGCAAACAGGCACATCGTTCCTTTAGCTTTTGGCATATGTGATTCTGAATCTACAACTTCATGGAAGTGGTTCTTGATGAAATTGCGGGATACTCTGAAGTACCGTCATGATTTATATATCGTTTCAAATCGACATAAAGGACTTGTCAAGGCTGCAGGTGAAATTTTCCCACATGTTATACATGGGTTTTGTGTAGAGCATCTTAGGCGTAATTTGATTCATAAATTCAGAGGTTCTAATGGGCTTGGCTGGAAATTTAAGGATGCGTATATGGCTTCTACTATTCCTGAATATGAGGAGTACCTAGCTATGTTAGATTCTGATAATGCCAAGATTCGTCCGTGGTTAGATAAGATTGGGAGTCACAGATGGGCTGGGTGTATGGCTGGTCCACGAAGATTTGGTGTGCTTACCTCTAATTGTGCAGAGTCACTGAATAATGTTAATGTCATTGCTAGAGAGTACTCCATATCTAAGCTCATTGACTTCTTACGTCAACACATGCAAAAGGGGTTCACAGAAACAAGTGAAAAGGCTTCTAAGAAAACTACCATTTTGTCCAATAAATGTGAAAAACATTTGGTGGCATTGCAATATGCATCTACACACATGCACGTATTACTTTTGGTTCCCTAAATTGTTATGCATTACGTTCACTTTTTAAATACATTTGTATTCTGGAAAATTAGTTTGTTACTTACCGCCATTCTGGGTTGCTGTTTAATGCCATGTTGCACTGTCTTATAAACATTATGTGTCATGACAAATACTGTTTCACCTTTCTCATATTTTATAATGAAAATTATAACACTTACACTTCCCTCCATCTAGGTGAAACCATCTTCATATTTGGAGTTTGAGGTTGTTGATAGGGATTGCCGATCATTTGTTGTTAACCTATCAAAGAATACTTGTTCATGTGGTGTCTTTCAGTTGGATCAGTTCATTTGTGTACATGGTGTTGCTTCTCTTCGTATTCGACCAGGCCTCTCTTGCTATGATTTCATTTCTCCTTATTATTCTCGTGACGCATACCTATCTACATGGAGTGGTAGTGTGCATCCAATTCCAGATCCAAAGTCGTGGTCAGTTCCGAAAAGTGTTCTTAGCATTGTGTGCAAGCCTCCAAATTGTTTAAAGAGACCTCCTGGCCGTCCAAAGAAATCCAGAATTCCATCCATTGGAGAGTTTCGTGGGTCAAAACGTCGAAGGTGCTCTCGTTGCCATGCCATTGGTCACAACAAAAAAACTTGTGGCAATCCCATTCCACATTAAAACATTTGTGCTGTCTAACAGTATGGGGATTGCCATTATTCACTAAGCTTGAAATCTTTGTTTTATACTTTGTTGAGTAATGTGCTGTAATAGAAGAAAATATACTTCATATCTTAGGCATTACTTCTTTTGGTTGTAATCTTTCTGTTATCCTTTTATAAGTAATATACTGTAATGGAACATATTATGCTATCAATAACAAAGTCCGTGTTTTCTTCATTCATTATTTATAGACAAGTTTGATACATTCGTGTTTTAAGTGTTTAAAAATTATATTTACTGGTTACTACATCTAGTTTCATAG